GCATCAATATATCACATTCTGCTCAGTTAATTGCCCTATTTCTGCTCCCATCCTGGACTTCTGCTGCAGTTTGCAGACTTTCAACAGGACAAGCCTAAAGTTACATAGACTCATTAGTTTAAAGTATGTAGGCATTTTCTAGCATACAACAATCAAACATAGGTGAATATAGAGAAAACATCACTCAAATTTTAAAGATAGCATTTGTACTCACACTGGAAACAGGTTGTTAAATATGATTAAAGAGCTGGCCAACACAAGCATGTGTGGCTAGCGCTGAAATACTTGAAACATTGAGAGGGTAATTGCAATAAACTGTCCATCACACATCCATAGAAAATTGAATTAACTTGGGAAATTTTTGTAAGAGTAGTATTGAATAGTCAGTGAACTCAAATAAATTGCTCTCGTTTCAGATGACTGCAAGAGAAAAATGCAGAATTGTGGTGCTTTACCAGTTTCTTGTCATGAACATCTCTGTGCTGAAAATACAGAAGCATCATGTCCCTGTTTTTTTTTCACATGCATTCACTTAGATGGTCTAGGCAGATTCCAGTGTATTTTACTGAAAATTCTACTAAAAAGGTGGAATCATGGTCATTTTTTAACTGTTTGGAAAACTAATGTGTGTCTTTTTTTTTTTTTATGAGGAGGTAGTTCTCCATTCCAGACACCCTATAGCTTAGCAAGGAGATGCCAGAAAATGGCTTTGTAGAAGCCCATCAAGTAGCAAAGGACTTTAGCTGTGATCACACAAAACTGCTCAAAAGATATCTTACCTTACTGAAGAGGTACACTGTAGATAAATGGCTTTTGGGACTTGAGCTCTCAGATGGCATTGACCTAAGTGTCTCCAAATGATGGCAGTCTGTGTCTAGCCATACCCTGTGGTCACTAAAATTCTGCTGGTATTTGGTGTGATGAGTAGGGCTCTTCATGTCCTGGCCAGTAGCCAGTATGGCTCAGTGCTTAGACCCATGTGAAGCTCTGTGGGTTTTGCTCACTGACATATGTTTGTTTTGATTTGAGTCCATAAGGTTTGCACGCTTGAGGTTCACTTTGAGGTTTCAAGTTCAGTGAAACATCAAGTTTTTCCTGGCTTTTGGGTTGAAACCTCAAATCTAATGATAATTCTTTCTCCGTCTGCAGATTACAGAGAGAACGGTCATTTAAAATTGAACCCCAAAGCCTGATTCTTGCTGAGAACCATCAGCTGGACCATTCCTTGTGATTATATCAAATTAGCAACTCCTCATTTTACTGATATACACAAGTGTGCTAGTGGCATTCTACTCTAATTCAAAAGATAGCATTTCTCCAATTATTTTTTTGTTATTTTTCACTTCCTACTTCCTAGGTGGCACTGTTTAGTGCTACTCAGGGGTGGCAGTTTTTGAGTATAATAAGGAAAAACTCAAATTTATGGTTGATTTTATTTTTTCTGCCCAGTCTTTTCAGTACCTTAATCAAGGTTAGTGCTATGCTTCATCAAGGTGAAGTTCCGCTTCCTTTGACTTCAGGAATAAAGACCCAAAGTGGAACTCTTCCCAAAAGGAAAAGCTGACACCCTAAATGTTTCATTTTCCAAAACCAAAGTTTTGTTTTCAGTGACGTTCAATACATCACACTTGCAGGGGTCCATGTTGCATTGGAGTACTGTACCAAGCAGAAAATTAGCCATATAAAGAAGTATTTGGTTTAACCGCATCTGAAAATTACTCCACAAAATTCAGTAGCATTTAATCTCTCATGAAGTAAGATTATTTTGGGTTCTCTGTATATAGCTCTGATTCATCTAGCATCTACTCAGCTGCTGAATCTTTGCTCTGAAGCCTGTCCCCTGTGGACAGTTACATCAAATCCAACATAGGCAGCACAAAGCCTAAGGCAGCACAAAGCCACACTAATATGGAGTAGGATTTGTGATTAAGTGTTTGAGAACACGTCTTCAGATCCTGGCACCAAACCTGGGAAAATTTTTATTGATGACTTGTCAAGGTAGCATCCAAAACAATCCCAGTTCTTCCCACATGTTTCAGCCCAAAAGCTTTAATGTGAGCACAAACAGTAATGATCTCAAGCCAAAATTCTTACCTGTACCCTCTGCTGCTATGTTTGGACAACTTCTGAGTTCTCCGTTCTCTGGAGGAGAGAAAATATGCTCTGAAGCTAAACTGAGAAAGTCATATTAGACAGGTAATTTAGAGTCTGCTACTGAATTACTTTGAGAGCTAACAGCATCTAACAAAGTACCTATGTTAGAGATTTGAAGAGGGAAGAAAGGTTATTACCCATGCTGTTAACAAAGCACTTACTGAGGACTTTATCTGAAGTATAAAAGTTAGATTTGCAAGCACTATGTGCATAAGGCTGTCTCTCACATAAAGCCTTTCTTCTTCTAAACCTTTCTACATTTCTGAGGGAATTATGACTGGCTTTCTCTTTATAATTCTTGCCTCTTCTCCTTCCTCCCTCTTCACTGACATCTAACATGACTATGTATCCCTGGATCTTCCTTAAAGGTACATACATTGTGTGCTTGAATAGGTTTATCACAAGGTTGTGGATATATATTTATAGATACTCTAGGGCCCATTTTCCAGGTCTGATTGAAAAAAGTGTCTTGTTTATTCTGAATAAACCAACATCCTTCATGTTAGTTCAGCCCTGATTCTGCCTTCTGAGTGTAGTTTAGGTCTCATATGCAAGGGATCCCTGGGTTTTCTCCTGTTTCTTATGGGTACACACCAGGTAACACCTGGTAGAAATGGAATTGTTATCAGGGTGTTCACTAACATTGTAGTGCTTTGGTTAATAGTTGAAATGGAAGCATCTGGAGATAAAATTATAATCATGTGGTAACAATTTGGAGGTGCTACTAATTTGAGCTGAACTTAAATTAATATAAAACGTCCCTTAATTCCTTGGTGCCCTTCCTGTGCTTTCAGAGACAGATCTAGGAAAATGTATGCAATTCGGCAGTGCAGTGAAGACTGCCTATATAATAAATGCAGGATGAACATTTATTTCCTGCATTTATTTTCCCTGGGAGGGAGGTCAGCACTGGAAGAAGTTATGGAATCTCCACCTCTCAGAGTCTTCAGCTTGAGGTTGCATCTGACCTGATGTAGTGTTGATGATATCCAGGGGTTTCACTAAGTTACCTCCAATTGACCCTTCCAACATATCCCTATGTCAGAACAGATAAATGAGCTACTGGTATCAGATGAGAATGAGCATTGACTCACAGAGTTACGAACTGCTGCAGCTCTGTCTTAGAAACTAATGAGAACACACTAGAAACCATTCAGAGCAGAGTGTTATCATTGTTGTAGGTTAAAACCATGGGATTGGTCATCAGGCCAGCTCCTTTCATTTTGTAATCCAAAGACCTGAAGATACATATTTTGCTGGACTCAGTTCCTGTCTCAGTAATGTTTATATTTTGGACTGAGAAAATAATCCATAACCTGGATTCTCCTTATTGGCTGACATAGCATCTGAAAGTACAGTATTATATTGATTAGCTACAGTCAGAATTTGGGTATACCTTTACTATTTTCCATCAGAGAATTCCCAGTGCTGAAGTTATTAACCCCACAGGTGAAAATGCCCTCAGATGACTGTGGTAATCTTGTGATTTCTGTGCATGCAGTCCTGCGCCTCTCCTGAACACTAGCAGTATTGCTGAGGCTGAATGCTACTACTGGATTTTATGCGGAATTTAGGCAATTCCTAGGTGCAGCCCATTGCAAAACCTCTTTCTGATAGGAGCCAATGAGAACAAGCTACAACTGCCTTGTACAAATTTTTGCAATCTGCTATTGCGTGAACAGTTGGGAAGGGTGAAATCAGCACAAAAGAGCACTTGGGTTTTGCTCCGATTGCGCTTTCCTATATAAGGATTAAACATGTCTCTTCTGGGGGAATTCTGTGCTTTATCACCATTATGTAACTTCAAAGATTGAAATGGGATCCTGTGCAAAGCAGCTGTGTGGATTCACATCAGTTCTCTTCCTATATTTCCCCGACACCGTGTACAGTTTCAGTGTAAAGAGCCAGGGAACACAGCGTTGCGAGGTGGTGCCCAGCTTTTGCAAACAAAGGGGATGGAAGACTCTGTGCCACCTGTCACTTGAACAATTGTTAGGCATAAAACAAGCTACAAACCGCTAACTGTTTGTTGGATGATAACTTTGTGAGCAGCAATTCCATCGATCATCAAGGTCAGCTTCTCTGCTTTTGTTTCTCAAGCGAACCAATCCCTCGGTTCCATGCTCCTATAGGCAAGATGGTAAAGCAGCCAAGGATGTTAACTGCTTGGTGCCCTGACAGTAAACAGCACTGCAGAGCTGCACGCTCTCATTTGGGGGCTGACAGAGGTGTCCAGATGTTTCTGCGTTAAATAGGGTGGCACAACACCTTTGCAGGAATTGGCAGGCAAGAATGTTTGCTTCTTGGCTTGGACTGAAAGCTTTTGAGTTGTCAGTGTGAGAAAAATGTTACCACCATCCGAAAACCAGAGAGAGCCCTGTTGTGTCCATGCATGAAAAAGAGGAAAAAACTCTTCTGCTCAATTTTTCCTGATTAGTGCATTTACTAAAATTACTGGTTAAGGAAATGGTGAATGCCTCTGTGTTTCTTGCTGTAGTTGCTCATTGAGTGTGGGGCTGAGTGGGAAAAGGAGTAGTCTTGGCAAACAGCTTATTAGTCTCAAATAAATTATTCAGGATGCAGGTTTGGGTACAGATTGCAGGGAACGATAATGGAGATGTTTTTCTGAGTCTGTTCATGGTAGGGAGACATGGAGTATGCTTTTCAGGAATTCACTTCAGTGCAATCAGTTTAGAATAATGTAGCCTGGAAGTAATATTGCTGCCATCCAGCTAGTGTCTGTGGAACAGCATTCTCCTGCCTTCTGAAGCATTGGCATTGAAGATGGATAGATATGGAGATATTTATATTTTGGTCTGCTGCCTTTTAAATTTTTTTTATTTTTTTGAAGGGAAATTCATTCTCACCACTAGAGAGGGGCATGTTTCGGTTGAGATATGCCCCCCCCGAGTGAAATACTGGACCACATCAGCATCCGATTTGGGTGCGTCATGTGGTTTCTCATGTGATGCTGGTCTCACAGCGCTTTGGAGAGTGAGCCTTTGTGACTCTGCACTCTTGGACAGTAACATCCAGCAACATAGGATACTTTGGGGAGGGAAAGGAAAAGAGGCAGCCTCCCAGAAATGCCCGAAAGCTCAGAAAAATAAAGTTACGACAATTTGTTATAGTTACTGTTTCTTCTTAACTGTTTTGGCTTTTATTTTTAAATCTGGGTCTTCCCTTTTCTCCGTTCCTGCAGGCATAAAGCTGCACCATTCGGAAGAAGCAAGACAGTCTTTCCTCACAGCTATGATACTGCACCGCTTCCGACAGAATCTGCTTTTCCCTCCATTTACCTGGGCGACTGCTGCTCTTTCTGCTGCTGCTGGGGCTGCTGCAGTCTTGCTGCCTGCGTTTCACCCTGGCTTGGCTGACTCGAAACTCTCTCGTCTGCACATTGCTAAGGAAGAAGAGCGATGGAGCCACGGATATTTTTTTATTGGTTCTGGAAGCCAAGGGTTGCAATATGTGATGATTTCGGGGTTTTCTGTGGTGGGGTGGAGGGAGGAGAAAGGAAGGGTGTTAATCTAGGATAGGGTGGGTGAAAGCTTAAAGAAATATTATGTAAAGTAATCCAGTGCTTGACAAGGGCATCAGCAAGAAGAATCCAGCCTCTGCTGCTCCAGAGGATTAATATGGGGAAGTCACAGTGCTGCAGTCGGGTTTCACCTCAGTGCTGTACTGGAGATGGATAAATAAGGTACTGGTTGCATCTGCCTGTTAAGGCAAAGCCAAGGGAGAAGGAGAGAGCGAGTGAATGCAAATGCAAAGGAAGAAGAAACGCTCTGTGCCGTTTGTCTGATTCTGCGGATTCTCACTGCAGAGAGGATGGCTTGATTAACAAAGCAATGTATGGACCGAGGGACTGTAAATTGTAGCTTGAGCATTCCTGGTGCTGCCAGGGAGTGAACTGATGAGTTAGGTGGCTGCAGGAATATCCCCAGGGAAAACAGCAGCCTCTCACATCTGTGTACGTATGTGCTTTTGTGTGTGTGTGTGAACACGTACAGAAATGAAAGAAAGACATTTCTGACCAATTTACAGGGGACGTTTGTCAGTTTGCTGGGTCAGACTTGATTGCAGCTTGTATTTTCAGCTCTAGCTCTACACCCATTTCCTGACTGAGGTGGCACTTTGTGAAAACAGATGGTAGGCAGTATTCTTTTAAGAAATGCGAAAGCAGATCCTTTCTGCTTAACACCTTGAAGCACTGAACCTTCTGCACTGTGCTGAGAGAAACCATGGGGTTTCATTTTCTCCATCTTAAAATCTCTATAAACACAGCTGTATTCAGTACGGTGAAAAATTCTATACTGTAAATAGAAATGTGATCAATCTAATCAAAATAAATGCATCCCAGATGACTTCTAGACCAGCTGGCTACCACAGTCATCAGATGGCTAAATCTTCAACTGAGCATTTGTATTCGGTGTTATACTTGCATCTTTTTATTTTTCTCTTTTTTTTCTTAGATTTTCAAAATCAGCCTCAAACTTAAAAGGATTCTTCATATATTGGGAAAAGGCAATGCTTTCTGTGAAATGTACCTGGGTATATTTTTTACTTTGGAATCTGCTTGGGGTGATTTTAGAGTAGGTAGATTTGTCACAGTACAGGCATTTGGTAGGTAGCTCAGCCTGGCCATATCTGAACAATGCAGAAACAGGTTAAACAACCACTGCATACAGCTAGCAGGGCTTGGCATGGATTTTAGCAGCTGTGTATCAAGAAAGACGAGTTTTTTTTCTTTCCGTTTTTCCCTTTTATACAAAGCCATAGACCATAATGTCATACTAAAATGTGTATGAGGGGATTTCCCAATAGTCATGGTGAGCTACCCTGCAGGACTCCCGTCTAGTCCTTCCACTATTTTTTCCCCAGCTTACAAAGGCAGCCCTGTGTGTTGAATTGTATTTAGCCAGCTGTTGGATAGCATTCTTGTCCTGGGGGCTAAGGAGTCTTATTACTCCCAAACTGTAGTTTTCTGTTTGCTTAAAGAAAAACAACTTTGGCAATACAGCAGGCTCTGCAAATAAGTTTATGCCACTCCTATACCTTTCTGAATCTGTTGTGTGCTTCTAACTCAGGCAGTTTAAAGCAAGCAAAGAGGGAGGAGGAGAGACTCTGAACTTGCAGCTTCAAAGCTACAGAGGCAAGCAAAATGTCAGCAGCTTGTAATTAGGAGCCCACGGTTACGTCAGTGACTGTATCTCTCCAGGAATTGCTATGAGATGTGTGCCACAAAGCAAAGGAAGACTCTCATAACCTGGTTAACAAGCCTGGCTCAAACAAGAAAGAGCAAAATGGATTAATGAATCTGCTGTGTTCCTAACTCAGATGTGGATGGGTTACACGCACAAGGTTTGCTGAATTCTGCAGCAGTGAAGACTGAATTATGGCACGCATTAACCAAAAGTGCAAATCCTTCAGGAAAAATGCAGATGAGCAATCTACCCTTGAAAATTTCTTTCCTAGCTCTGTCCTGTACAGGCAGCTGCATGACATGGAGGCGCGCTTTGAAGGAACAGACTGGCGAGCTGCACAAAGATGTTTAAAAGGAAGGTGCAATTAGACACAAAGCAAGCCTGCTGAAATTCTGTTCTGGCATTGCAGATTTGATACTGAAATACCACCCCAGAGGAGACCGGCTGGGCTCTGGTGTGGTTTATATTAAGGCTTCTCGGTTAAGAGCGAGGGGGAAGGGACAGGGCTTCCTGCAGCATCTTGCAGCCATACAGAAGTCCCCAGGGCTGTGGGAAGCAGGAGGGGTGGGTGTGCTCTTAAAGACACATGCCCAGATCCTGCCAAGGGGCTTTCTGACCTCTGCAATTATTTTTAGGTCCGTGAAGGCAACTCGGCAGTGCTTAAGCAGTGGGATTGCAGGGGGTGTTTAATCTGCTGCGACTGGCCTTTCTCTGTGTCATGGCTGGGAAAGGCTTATAGAGCTTTTATCAATACCCCTCCACCACATCCAGCATGCATGTCTGTCGCTGTTCCCAAAGACCAGTTACTGGAGTTCTGGTGTGTTTCCCTGCTCCCAGCAGAAGTCACTTGCAGTTCAGCTCTGTTGTAGTTGCTCTTTAATTTACCAGATAGGTAGATTGTATTTTAAAAACAGTGGGGGTGGGTGGTTTTTGGTTTGGTTTTGGTTTGTTTTGGGTTTTTTGGGGGTTTTTTTGGACTGTGAACACAAATTTGTAGGAGGAGGTGACTCTGTATATTAAACCAATAGCTCTTTGAATTGTGTGTAGTATAATCTAAATATACTTACTTTAATTAATAGAAGGTTACAAAAGCTGGCATTGTCTGGAGCTGTTTAATTTACATCTTAGGTTTAGTCAATGAGCATAACCTGCCTGATTAGAATAGTGTATTCTGCACAGCCAACAGGGTGGAAGGCATTATTTTGTTTGTGTTAGTTCAAACAGCTGGTCATTAATGCAGGCCCCATCTCCAGAGTGAAGTGCTAGTGGACATGAATGGCTGCCTGATTAATGCTGCCCCTCGACGGGTCCTTCATCCAGCAGCAATGCTCGCAGCAGAATAATGCAGCGGGATTTGATTGCGCTCTAGCAGGGTAGTATGTCATTGTGTCACCAAGCGATCGAGGTTATTATGGGGTAGGGCAGACAGACGGGACAGTGGGGTTACTAGACCGTGGCATTTTTAGAAATGCAGGGCTGACCTACTTAGAGTTATTCTTGCTGGCTGGCAGCTGCCTGGTGTGGGGCTCCCCCGGATAGGCTGCGGCTGTTGCTAGGGGGAATTAGCATGAATTTTTCCACATACAGACTCAGTGATTGAATGATAAAAGCTGACTGGAATTAAAGAGATTCGGTTCAGTATTATGCAGATTTATCTCCCTCATTTTTTTTTCTCTCTGTCAAATGCATAAAAAGGAGCAGAAAACAGTTTGTTTCCATTTATTTTTGACCTATTTTTTTTTTTTTTTCCAGAGGAGGGCAGAAGTGTTGTGAGGTCATAATTTAATATTTAGGCCGTTGAAATGATATGATAGTGAGCATGCATCTTTAATGTATGGAAGATTAAAATGCTGCCTCTCTGGAAGGGAATGAAATGAATATATTTTGTGTTCTCGTCAAGCTGCAACCTCTTTTTATTTGAAGCCATGTCAGATTCTTTTATCTGGAAAGGGGAAACATATACCAGGTTTTATTGCATAACATTACTCTTAGCTATTTTTAGCTATCTGTCCTTCAAAAAATTAGTCCTATTTATACTAGTGGATGAAATTAATCCCCAGGCTATGCCTTATGTATGTGGAGACAGATGCCCAGGGTAGCTGCAGTGTTGTGTGTCATGTTCATCTGAAAAGGTGTTTACACACTGCAGGCTTATCAGTACTGCATACCTAACAGAGTGCTGATGCCTGACATGTAATCAGATCAATTAGAGAACTCTCCTGGATTATGGAGTATTTTTCAGGCCATGGTTTGAAGTTGGAATCTCTAGATGGCCTTCTTTTATTTATCTACATCTGCCTAAAACAGTGTTATCTTTTCAGAGAACTCTGTGCTCCCTTAGGAAGCAAATAAGAACAATACTTAGTGAAGAATCCTTTGATGTAATCATGAATATTTCCTTTGTTATTATCACTAGTTATAGAAGAACTTTGTTTAAACCGCTATTTCCCCCTGTGTGATCTTTTGCCATTCAAAGAAATACCAATTTAGTACTTACAATTTTAAGTTAAATATTCATGGCAATGCAGCATGACATCACACTCAAAGAAGTGGGAATTTTCAAAATATGAGACAATGGGGGGTGGGAGAGAAGGACCCACGTGCCTTTGGAAATGCAAAATAAAAAATGGGACTCAGTGCTGAAAAGTAGTGAACTAATTTTTGTCTGAAGCAGTTTAATTTCAAATATTTGGATGAATGAGGTACCTTTTAGAGGTTTGTGAACAGCGTGCACATCTGAGGTACCTTTTAGATGAGTGTGAGCTGCCTGTGCATCTCCCTGGACAACTAGCTGCTTCCTTGGACCTAGAGCTGTCCTGCCTCGGCCCCTGGAATTTATTGGGAAGATATTAAAAAAATGAAACCAGAAATGGAGACATGAATTTGAATACATTTTGTGTCTGAGGCAAAGCATTCAGTCCCTACAGAGCTGAATTTCCTATGTCTTTTTCCTGGCATTGATTCATTACTGAAACTCACACCACTTCCTTCTCTGCTTCTTCCTGACGGTCTCATGGAGTGACAGAATTTTAGAGAAGTGAAAGTGAGGAGGGGCACAGTTTGATGCCCAGTAATCGTGTTTGCCTTGTCTGTCCTTGGAGGTTACTCCAGAAAGTTGTGGTCCCACTTCCCTCAACAATATTCTCTTGATCAAAATCTGATGTCCTGCCTCACTTTCCTGTAGGATGCCAGGCAACAGGCTTTGTAGACAGCCTTTGTCTACAGTTGTCTCTTGAGGTTTTTGCCCTTGTTGGTTGTAGCCAGTTGTAGTTTCATCCAGTTCACCTGGGGTATTAGCTGACTTGGGCTTCAGCAAATCCAAATAAGCATTCAATACCATATTAATGCAGTACCGCATTTTCTAGAATAAAACATTTGAGTGTTTGGTATATTTGTGCTAAAAAAGAGAGAGTTCAAAGAAAAGCAACAAACAAGATACAGCATATACTCTTGGAAAAGAGCTGCGTCCTTGCTGTTTATCTGGATTCCAACACACTGATTGTTTATAACAAGCATCAAATCAGAAAGTTTAACAAACCATCAAGTGACATATTAAATATAAAAAATATAATGCACCAGAAATTGTATTAAATGTAAAGTTGCCCTGCTGGAAATCTCTTCAATGAAAATTTTTCCAAACAATTGAGTATGTGAATGATGTGATCATAATACTTTGGGTAATTATGAGTAGCAGAAATAAGGAGTTAATGACACAAACTGAAAATCTGAGCTCTGTGTGTGTGTATTTACTGCATAGGAAGCAGGGTGTCAAAGGAGTTCGAGATACATGTTTGAAATACGTGTCCATGTTGAAAATATTGCCAATTGTGCACAGTCTTTTGAAAAACCCATATTAGTCACTTTCTGATGATCTCCTCTGAGGTTTCTATTCTTGCTACAACTTACACCTCCTACCTAGAAGTTTCTTACCTACAAAAGATTGAGTTATATTTTTCAACATTCTTGTACTGTGACCTCTCCTGTGAGATATGAAAGATCTATTATGCTGAGTTTCATGCTCTTGTGTGACTAAGTGAATGCTGATTTACTGGGAGCATATGCAGGCAATAATTTTTTTTTTCCCATCAAAATACCCAGAATCCTGCCTCCATTTGCAGGTGTGAGATGGCTGTACTGATTGGTGCATTCCTGACATCAAAGTCTTGGCCAGTCATAGATTTGCTGAGCATTTTGTGATTTTATGGCAACTTTCTGTTTTTCTGAAAATGATCAGAGGATACACGATATAGAGCAACTCATCTAGATTCCCATGCCGCAAGGAGTGAGTTCAATCCCAGCCTTCACCTCCTGCAGAGCCATACAGATCAGTTCTTCTGCAGCAAATGTGTTTCAGTTCCAATTTCAAACCAAAAGTACAAGGAATTGTCTCATATTTCTTAAAAGAGTGGCAGTTAGCACATTCCTTTTATTGCAATGCAGTAGGGAATACAAATGTTTAACAAAATAAAATCCTCATAAGATTTTTTTTTTCTGTGATCCATTAACAGGAAACAAATTCTGTAACAAATGCTCCTGTAACAGCCAGGAGTAGCATTATTGTGGCTCCCACATTCCTGCTCTTCCTGTATCCATGCATGTATGTGCCTGTGCATTCAGAATTGCTGCATACATGTAGTGTGTGGGTGTGTATACAAGACACAAGTATAACTTACACAAGCACAGCACCGAAGCATAGAGCATGTAATCACAGTTGTCTCAGTGTAGCACCAAAGCCTGTGCCTCTAGATATATGATGCTGTTTTATCTATGATAAAAAGTGGCTTGAGATGAAATGTAAGAAGTTCTGGTGTGTAGCACCAGCCATTGTGTTAATGCTATCATCCCATTCAGCACCAGCAAAGACAAAAAAGAAAAAGAAAAAGAAAAAGAAAAAGAAAAAGAAAAAGAAAAAGAAAAAGAAAATCATGTTTATGTGCAATAGAAGGGTAGCAAGAAGGGTAGTGTGGTGAAAAATGGGGTGTACCTAGATAGCTGTGTTTCATAACTACTTGTGCCTTTTGTAGACATGCATAATGAAATGTATGATGGGCTGTTTAAGACAGAGAGAGATATTTTAAATTATTGCTAATACTTCCCTCCTGCTCTTAGGTCACACCTACTTCAAAAGTGAATCCAGACTCAGATCTTGACAGAGATCGTGACCCTGTTGAAACCAATGACTTTTTTATTCTGGAATTCAATTGAGCCAGGCTTTCATCTGTTGAATTTTCCCCTGAACATGTCTTTTCTCTATACTCTTTCTCCAAAGTGTGGTGTTTCTGTTTCTACATTTTCTCCCCCTCTGTTCCTCTGAAAATTCTTTGAAAGGTTACTTTTTTGTTGAGCAGTTTACTATAAATTTACTCTTGAGTAGGAGAAAATGTGGGAAAATATCACTTCCCTCCTGAGCTAGTAAAGTAGGATTGCAGTGAGTCTCAATAATTATGTTTTTCTGAATAGTCCTGCTTTCATCATAAGATGACTTTAGTTTTTAATGAAAGGGAACAGGCAGTGAACAAAACAAATATGCCAAGGAGAACCTGGTCTCTTAACAGGCTGCAGAAACTCAGGTAATGAGATGGCTGGTGTCTTGACCTACAAAGCTAGGGCTCTTAGAAATGTCGAGGGAGGCAGAATGCAACAATTTCAAATGAGAAATGCTTTCTAGCTCTCTAGCCACTTGTGCTGTTATCATCATTAACTTAACAGTGAATTCATTTATCTTTTTTTTTGGCACTTTAGTTTTGCATAAACAGTACTCACACCAACATTCAAAGAAATTATTCATATGGAGGCAGGTATACCACAGTTATGCCAGTTATGTCTGGGTTTGCTTTTTTTTTTCTTAGTAGTATACAGACACAGTATTTAGGCCCCTTTGAGGTCAAAATGTTTTTGATATTTCAAAGAAGGAGACATTTGAAATAATGGCAGTTAGTAGAGGACATTGGAGATAGATTTTTGTGCAGTATTTTATCTGCATAAAACATTCAGGATGGAGGAGGTGGTGCACAGTGCTGCAGACTTGGTAGGTTAGGATTGAAACAAATGGCTGGTGAATCTTGACATAAATCACCTGCTCATGACCTCTACAGATGGCAGTGTATTACAGATCTCAGCTGCAATTCCTGCAAACACACGCATACACTGTGCCAAGTGAGCTATATTTGTTGGTGTGTCATCTCCAACATCTCTTCATATTACTCCTTTAAAACTAAAACCTACAATTCTTTAAAACTGCATATGAGATCACAAGTTCCAATCTTTCTTTCTTCACCTTGAAATGGCAGGTAAGATTATGAACCTCTGTGAGTTTTCTGAATATATTCCTTTTATAAAGAAGCAGAACTTCCAGCACACTTCAGTGCCCTATTTGCTGCGTCACAACCTGTGGATCTTCTTTCCATCAAGGGTTTTATGTTAAAAGCCACAGAATCACACACTTGCCTTCAAATTTGACTTGGTTTCTTGGCATGATGCTCACTAAGATTTTTGTAATGTTTGTGATTATGAAGAATTACTTGCAAATGTTAAAAATAACCTCTCTGGTGCCTGCATTTATATTAAATCTGATTCCATTCCTCTGAAATCTTTGCTTTACCTTGTTTTATGAGAGTAATCCTATTTATTTTAGAAGCAAGTGAATGGCAGGCCAAGGAACCCAAATGAACAGATAATGTTTGATTTCACAAACCAGGTATTCATGTTATGATGAATTTCTAAGAAACAGGACAGGGTGCTAATGCTGTGCAGATCAACTTGGTTGTGTGTTTTCAAACAGCAGATCATCTGAAATCAGGACTATAAGGCCAAGTGAAATCCTGGCCCTGGAGGAACATTGGAGAGCTGCGTTAACTGGGGTACTCCCACTTCAAAGGGAGTCTCTAAAGTTTCAAGTACTGCCAGCATTTGGTTCCTTTCTTTGCTCAGCTCAACTGATGCTGTTTTCAGCTACTTGGCAACTATAAAGAGAGGTAATGTCCTTTATTTAATTCAGCTTTCCTCACAAACCTTGGCTTCTTGTTAACATTATGTAGTCCTGGATGTCTCATACTAGTATGGACTATAACAGGAATTTGAAACATTCAAAAAAAAATCAGAAGGCAGCCAGGATTTTGGAACAGCACCCCTGCATATTTGAAGATTTCTTGATGAATGGGACATTTCTATTGCAGAGCATGTTAGAAGAAATGCATGGCAGTCAGAAGTTTTGGCTGCATTACTATGCTGCATAATGATGGAAGCCATTAAATTCAGTTAAAGCTCTGAAATTTTCTTACTCCATGGGTCTACAACCAGGAAAAAACACTCCTCTGTTCATCCACCAGATTCAGTTCTGCACAGGCCCTTCAGAGTTTACATCTTAGGTTGTCACATCTATTACGTGCAAATATTTTTAAACATTCAGTTCATCTTGTCATTGAGCCATAAGGACAACATCCATGATGATTTGTGAGGTCTGTGATTATTGCTGGATTCTAGATGGTACCCATGCCTTCCTGATAGCCACTAGTTTATAATATAATGTAAGCCCTCACATATGCATTTTCTTAGAAAGGATGAAATGGATTTTTTTCGCTCCTTAATCCTACGTCAAAGGGTAGAAAATGCAAGGTTTTCTTCTCTATGAGCTGGATGGACATCAGAGATTCTTCTCTCTCTTTGGGTCCTGAAATCCTGCTTTGAAAGTCTTTTAAAGAGATGAAAAGGGTGTAGTTGAAGCTTTAAAACCAAGAACTTTGCACATTACTGAAATAAATAGATCTCCCTTTTATTTCAGGGTCCACATTGAGATAATACACAGAAGCAAAAAGAACCATGGTAGACTTCTATTTTATTGTTTCCTTACATCCCAATCCCCCCCTCCTTAATTCATTTTTGGGGTCTGGAAAGAAAAACTTACTGAAAAGCCCCAGTGTATTGATGTGTGAAATTGATGGTGTTGCTCACTCTTATGATCAAGCCACTGTTCCCTTTGACAAGGCTAACAGTATAAGAAATATATTGGAAAACATGTACCTAAGTATGAAAAATTCCTTAAATTCAGGGTGTGTTCATACAAAATGAAGTTTCTACAGTGTGGAAATCGTTAAACCTGATCCAGAAAAAATGTGAGGTGCCCCAGCCATTGAGATGTGAATCTCTTTAATCCACACAAGCATTAGAAAAATCTGAAACATGTGAAAGTTCAAAAGCTGCAAAGCCATTACATGACTTCTTATTCATTTCTCAAATATTGTAACTTTCTATTGAACTGTGAAAAGACTTTTTCTTTTTTTTTTTTCTTTTCATAAGCAATAGATCAGTCACTCACTAATGTGTTACTGCACATTGTGAATCCGAAAGTTTCACTTGGTTATATCTACTTAGATATAAATTTTTGATTTATTTCAGAGCATTTTATGTAGCATTTCAATGGTTGCTAACTTGCAACTTTTCAGCAGCTGCTGTTAGAGAGGGGGAAAAGGGCATGGCTGAGTTAAGTTTTAAATTTCTGTTTAAGATTTCAAACAATTTCACAGTGCATTTTGAAGTAACTTTAATGATTAGCTCTAACTTTGCATTATATGAATGCATGCTAATTAAAAACCAAACTAAACAAAAAAACATAACAAAACCAAAGCAACAAATTTTTTTTTCATCTTAGCTTTGCTTCTCTGAAGTACACCAAGAGAAGCTTCAAATCCACTGAAAACTTCAGAGAAAACAGTAAATTACTATTTGCAAAAGGACAGACTTGATTGGTAACAGAAATGCTTGGCTCAAGGATTCCCCACTGCCAGCAACCTTCTAAAGTGCACATATGCCTAACTCCAAGGGCCAGAATATTTCTGCCTGGTCCCAGGCTGTCTCCCTGCTGCTCCAGTAGCCAAACCTTCTGCAGAGGCTTGGGCAGTCTGACTGATCTGGCTTTCTCTCTATGGGAGTATTAATTTGTTTTGCATCTGCAATTTTAACATTAGGCTCATTTTTGATTCTTTTGCCCTTTCTGTGGTCAGTTATACAGCCTAAAGTTTTCAAAGAGTTGTCTCTCACTGGGGTATGAGTCATGCTTTAGGCTATTTGCTTAAATGCAGTTCTTGTTGAGATAAAGCTGCTGGGAAAACAGAGAGCCCCCTATGTCTGATGGTTTTGTTCTAGGAGCTGCCAGGGATGTACTGTTACACTGTAGTGTCTGAAACAATAATGGATCTTCACGTATAGGATAGAAGGCTTTCTTTAGGGTAAAAATAGATTAGAAAGAGTAACATTGATTTGTCATTTGAAAATCAGCCACAAATTTTTGTCACTGAAGCTCCTGTGAGAAGACAGTGGAATTACTAAAACCAGTTGGGGTTGGATTTTAAAATGGCAGGCAACTGTAGAATCTGACAAAGAGACTTTCTGAGTCCTTTAACCAAAAAAAAAAAAATCTTTAAAAGACAGGGAGAGGCCTGTTTTCTACATAAAAATAGTTGTCAACCTGACTTTCACTGACTTGCCAAAAGAGGTATCAGAGGGGCTGAGGTAATCCACTAATCTCTGAGGTGGTGAAGAAGAAAGGTGAAAGTGGGCTAGAGATAGGAGCAACTGCAAGAAAGGTCAGCTGAGATCTGGGATCTCTAGAGGACACCACATTCTCGAGCAATATTCTGCATTTAGAGTTATAAAACCTAAGTAAAACAAATTCTCAAACCTGTGGCAAGACCCAAAGAGTTTGAAGGTAAACATTAGATAAGAATTAGCTGTATTCATTCTGTCCTTTGCTGCCAAGGCCTCAGAGCACAACAAAGGACTATTGATCAAAAAGGTCATTTAGAAGAGGGCAGGGTTTGAAGAAACTGAATTGAAAAAAAAATCTCAAATGCGACAAATACAAAAATAGTAACTCAGAGATTAATGGATTTCTGTACATTAGACATTTTTCACATGCATTCGTCTGCACAGATATAGTGAATATCTGTCATTTTCTTGGTTTGCACAGTGACTTCCCCCTGTAGTCTCCAGAGCTTGGATTGGTGAGTATTACATGTATCCCTGTAAATAAATAGAAAAAGAAGCAAAAGAAATCATGGTGTTGCACTTGGGCTTTCCTCTTGGTGCCCTATAGGTGCCCTACACATCTTGCACAATACTTAAGGCTGCTCACATGTAAAGTGGTAGCCAGTGGTGTCTGACCTATTACTGAAATATTTAGGATTCCCATAGTAGCAGCAGCAGACGCTAAGGGATATTATGTGAAGAAGCATATATATTATATATATGGTGTTATCTTGATTTTCTTGAGCAGAAAGATTTTTTCCCTTCCAGAGGGTTACGTGGTAAAAGGGAATAATTCGTTGTTGTTGAGATCTGTAACTTCTCAGCCTCTCATATCCTGAAAAATATTAATAAAGGGCAATTTTCTATGTGAGTACTGCTGGAAAGAAAAGCTTCAAAGTACAAGAGATTCTAGTGTCATCTGCAGACAGAAATCTGCTAAGTGTGTTTGTATTTTGGGGGGCAAGTGGAAAAAGACCATTTGCTGTGAATGACAAGTGCCAGTCTCATAATGTCATATTACCATTGTGGATGAATAAAGAAAAAGGCCCATTATATTATATCTAACTAGAAAGCAACTTAACAAAGAAATACACTGTGGTGTTAGTGAGAGGAAGGATAGACTTGTGGTTAAGGCACAGGAATTGCTGATTCAAATTTCTGGCTCCGCAAGAGACTTCCTTCGTAGCCTTGGGCGACTCACTTGCTGCCATGCTTCAAAATGGGAGTAACACCCAAACTGGAGAGATTTCCTAGAGAGATACCTTCCCAATACAGCACTCAAATGGGTACCCAAGTGGACAGATTTCCAAGATGTTCCAAATAAATATTTTTGAAAATATGCAATAAAAGTAGGAACGATAGAGTTTGGACACTTTTTTCTCCTTGTTTCTTTCTATTTCCCCCCTTCCCCCCTCTCCCCCCCTCCCCCTCCTTTCTTTTTTTCTGTTCTCTTTTTCCTATGAAACTCTGGCTCTGATGCTGGTTATTGAGCATTTGAGAATCTGATCCTTGACCTCCCTTAAGATTCTGACTTAGTCATTTTAAGGCCTGGTTTTCCAGCTGAAAATGGAGATAACAATGCTTTCTTTATCTTATTGCCTGCCAGTTTTGTCTTTTTAGACACTGAAGCACTGGGGAAAGGTATTACCTTCTATAATATACAGGTATTTCACCCAAATCCTTGAGGGGGATTGAAAGAAATAGGAACTTTAGGCATTAGTGTGATGAAAAGAGGCACAGAAATGGTAGTAGAAGCAGCCATTTTGATTTTTAATAAGTAGTGAGCCAAATTCAGTAGTATTAAAGACTGTTAGAGAAGACAATTTGTGTCTGAGTCAGGATTTCTTCAAGACCTTGGAACGCTGAGATTGAAAATTGTGGGTTTAGCACATCTCTAACCAGAGTTACATTAGAATCTGTGTTGAAGTATGTTTTCAGTTATATTCTGTTAGAAAAGTAATGCTGAAATTTATCTTAAGTTGTCACAGTGCTTCAAAGCATGGGCTTTTCCTCTCTCTAAGTCCTTGAACAGATGCAGGATGTGTTGCGGCAAAACTGTTTCCAATT